ATTTGTTAACTAATGAGGATTTGTGAGAATCAAATGATAACAAATTTAGCACTGTGCCTGAATGTACTAGATTATCGAGAAATCATAATTGTTGTTAATAAAAATTTTCTATAAAAATGTATAAGAATGACTTTTTCTTTAGCATTATTATTTATTACTGATGCCTGAACAAAATCATAATGTTACTACACATGGACCAAAAATCTCTAAAGAATAATGTTCCTTCCATCATCGCCTTGGATATAAACAAGAGCTTAGAGTAATTGAACTGTAACTGATAGACACTTTTAAATCATTTTATTTGAATCTATTTTTTAAAAATCATGTCAATTTAACTATTTTTATTGATTTTACCTTCTCAGAATATCAAACCATTCTGTATAAAACTAACAGAAGAAAATAATGGGAAAAAGACCAAAAAAGGGCTCATTTTCTCACCTTAGCGATAATACAAAGAAAAAGAAAATCCAAGTCCTTAGATTCTATTCTAAACTGACTTTAGCCTGAGATATGTAACCGAGGAAACCAAAAAATTTACATTTTTGTCCAACCACTTATAGGCACGGCATGAAAATCATTTATAGTGAATATTAATGAACTAGGATGCAAGTTCAGCAAATACTTTTATGTTCAATGTATGGTTTATTAAAATCTTCGTTAAATACTTTAGTCAATTTTCCCTATCTTTACAAGTTTAAATATGGTGGATACCTGATTCCGTGATTGATGATTTAGCGTCTTGCCATACCTCACAGTTAGCAATAACTTTTCATTATGGCATTCTACAGAAATGAATAGTATGATAAATCAGCCCAAATGTGTCCTGAACTTAAAAGAGTTCCTGGTACTATTCCCTAGTGAATTACTTCTTTCCCAAAAGGGGACACAGCTCATAATTCCAGCTCATTGTGTGCTCTGGTTCATTATTTGAAGTTTTATTACAATGCGACATGAACATTCATAAAATGTGGCATGAAATATTCTTTGAGAGGTCAGCTTCAAAAGCACTATTGTGGTCAATCACACAGATGGATAGCTACATACTGAGTCTAAAGCAGTTTCCTATCATTCCTTGCCAACTGGCTCTAAGGTGAGCTGGGAGCAGTTTGGCTGGCCACCTTTCCATGCCACTGTCTACATTCAGAAAAACTAATGAGTGTATACTCCATACTCTGGTCTACAGTGTCCCTGTTCTCAGGGCAAAGGCACAGTAAATAAGAGAGTACTTTACTGTAATATGTTAGTCAGTTATTAAATACTTATCCAGAACCTACTATATGCCAGGTGCTCTAGTCTTACCATATTTCTTACAAACTCTTAGCACATGCAGTTGTCTCAACCTGGAATGCCTTCCTTGTAGCTCTAAATTGGAAAACTGACAATAAGCTTCTAGACAAGAGTTCATGTATTATGTCCTCTGTTACATACTACCATGCTCACCTCTCCTGAAAATTTTTCAAGTTGCTCCCTGGTCTCTGTCTCTAGAGCACCATGTTCATCCAAGCATTAGCTTTTATCAATAGTTTTAAAAGTTTGTTTACTTGTCTATAAATGTGACTATAAGCTCTTCAGGCCTGTAATTTTGTTTTATAGTCGTACTTCCAGTGCCTGACGGAGCATCTCCTTGAATTTAAGAATGAATGAATGAACACCTACCTTCCTGAAGCTACCCTGACCATTCCCTAGGCAGTTGATTGGTCTCTTCCTCTGTCTTCCTTTAATATTTTCCATATATTTTCATTATGGTATCTATTACTTTGTTTGCCTATCTTCCAAACACAGTCTGTGAGCAGAGACCATTCTTTCCTATTTTTGTAGTTTCTGGGCCTAGCATATAATAAGTCTTTAAGAAGTATTTATTAAAAGAATGAAAACTTTGAAAGCATTCCTCTCGAACTTGTGGGTAACATCATATTTAACATGTTTAGTGGTAAACTCTTGCTTCAAAAAGACCTAAGTTTTTAAAAATGATATAGAAAGGCTGGAAAGATGGATCAAAACTAGCTACATTATATTTAACAGAAAGAGGTATAAAGATTCACATTTAGGTTCATATTTGGTTTTTATTTGCAAATTGAGGCAGAACTAAATCAATAGTATGATATGACTGAAAATAAAACACAGAAACCCACTGCTACATATTAACAAAGCATAGCAGCTGGAGCAAAAGAGTTGAGCCCTATCAAACTATAAGCTCTTCAGACCTATCTTGGGTATTGTGCAATTTATGGGACACATTAACAAAATAGAGAAATTCTAGAAGTGGGTAGATTGGCTCATAAGTGTCCTGAAAACTATGAAAAT